TGTGATCAGCTGGTTTTGGTTGTCAGCAGCAAAACTGGTTGATCCACTCTGAGACGGTGCTATTTAAGAGACAAAGCTGAATACAGTTCCTCAGACTGAGGAAGTCTCTCGGATGAGAGACAAAATGTTTCTAACTGTTTATGTTGATTTGCTTAGTTTTTTTTTTTTTTGAATGTCCAGAGGACCAGATTTAACTTTTTTAGATTTTTTTCTACCTGGATTATTGAGCATGCATCAGGATAGAAGTATTGTAGTTCTCTCTAATGATAGAAAATTTCTAAATTCTTCTGCCCTTCATATTATTTACTGTTCACTTATTTTGCCATATCCAAGTTACTGTGTGGAAATTTGGGGCAACACTTACAAAACTTCACTTCAACCATTATGCACATTGCAGAAGAGCCATTCGAATAGTTCACAAGGTTGATTTTTAATGTCATACCAACAATTTATTTATAGATTCTTATTTCCTGAAACTCACAGATTTGGTAGAGTTTCAAACTGCACTATTTATGTATAAAGTTAGAAACAAACTATTACCAGAAAATATTCAAAAATGATTCTGGAGATATGACTATAGAGAAAACCTAAATTTCAGAACTTTGAATGTTAGAACAACAATGAAAAGAATGTACTTTTCTGTCATTGGTGTGAAGATCTGGAATAAACTCACCAAAGAGTTGAAGCAAAGTCCAAGCATGAGGTGTTTTAAGAAAAGACTCAAAATGGTTATTATTCAAAAGTACAAGGATGAACAGGGGTGATGAATTGGCTGGTAATTATAGAACTGTGGATTAATTGGGCAATTGGGTGCTGGTTTGTGTATGTGTATGTAAACATATGTGGGTGTGTAAATAGGTATATATTATCTATGTATTTATGCAGGTAGATGTGTATGTATATCTATGTGTGTATATATTACTTTCATCTGGTCCAGAAAATAGTATTATAGTTATTATTATTATTATTACTTTTTTTTAATTATTATTACTTTTGGAAAGGATACTGGCAACAGGAAGACTATTTATGCTATGAATTAATGAATGGAAAAGGGGTATGATTATATAAGTTAAACTTCATCATACTCCTTTTCAGACTCAGTCACCAAAAAAGTGAAGCATTTACATGTATTTGAGTATATAAAAATTGAGTATGTATATTTAATAATAAGATATTGTATTTACACTTAGAAACATGAAAGTCTTTATTATTATGTTTTGTTGGTGAAATGTCTGTCTGAAATAAAATTATCAATTCAATTCAATTCAATTTAACTGGGACCCTGTGTACATAATCTCACCACACACGTGGTGTGTATGACAATAAAACTCTCTGACTGACTGACTTTAAAACTAGGAATAAAAAATACATGTGTTAGCAGGATTTAATTCTAATTTTGAAACTTATCCAACATAAATAAAACTTACTTTAAGTTGCTTTTTTGGACATGCATGCATATATTTGTACAACTTGTACTTGCCTGTAGAAAGAAGATTATTACAGACTCATATAAAATCAATAATGATGATGATATCAGAACGGGATTGGTATCGGCCGATATCCATGAAAAAATGGATGTGGATGTGGATCGGTCCCTAGTTAAAAGTAGCCAAAAGCCAGTCAAAAAGACTAGCCAAAAGCATCCAAAGGCTCGTCAACAGTAAAGTCAAGTCAAGTCAAGTCAACTTTATTTATAGAGCACATTTAAAACAGAACCTGTTATCAAAGTGCTTAACAACAACAACAACAACAACAACAACAACAACAACAACAACAACAACAACAACAACAACAACAACAACAACAACAACAACAACAACAACAACAACAACAACAACAACAACAACAACAACAACAATCAATGAGTAAATTAAAGAGAAAAATATATAAACATATATATAGGAGGAGTCTGGAGTCTGAATCATGACTGACCTCTACTGGTGAAGGAGGAGAACTACAACAAACAGTTCAGACTTCTTTAGCTCGGGTCAAAAGTCAGAGGTCAGTGAATTCACCTTTCATAAGGTTCAGGTAAGCTTTGCCCCAAATGTCTCGATGCAGAGTGGTGAGGATGCCGACGGGCTCGGCGCTGGTCTCCTGCGCAGCACTGCAGATCCTCTCCAGCTGAATGCACAGCTGATCTGAGGACAGCGGCGACCCGTCGCTGTTGTACACATTTAGCTCAAAGAACTGAGGAACAAAAGCCAAACATCAGGCACCAGCAGGTGGATCCTCAGAAAATTGAGGCTCTCCTCACCTGGAAGTTGTTAACCACAGTGATGTGTTTGGGCGGCAGCGAACTCTTGGCGTGATTCACCACCGAGTCCCTCTTCAAGCCGGGGATCCGGCAGGACGAGAGCACCTCGTAGTACTGGTTCATGCACAGAGGCTGCCCTCCCAAGAACTCCACTGGGAGAGTCTCACTGGAACACAAACCGGGTCAGGATTTAAACATTGAGGGAACCAGGAACAGGACCAGGATGAGGAGCGGACTCACTTGTCGATCATCGCCTTGAAGTCGAGAACACCAGATATGAGTTTGGCAGCAAACCTAAACCAAACAAACAGAACCGGACTGTTAGGACCGCTGGGAATATTTATATGCAGGTTTAATTAAATAAAACATATAAGTAGGGCTGCAACAACGAATTTCGTTATCGATTTGTTGTGTCGCGCGATTATGCATTGTTGTAGCGACTGTCAAAGAGAGTCGCTGAGCAGCTGAGTAGGGGAATCATTTGTTGACGCGCCAGCTGATTAGATCTTACATCCACTTGATTTTATTGTCATGCAGAACGTCAGTGAATTACAATAATCCGTGTCCAAGGGCATCATTAAAACGGATCCGCCGGTTTAAACAGTGATCAAAGACAAAATCCATACACGCTTAAAGCGGCGGATCCGTTTTAATGATGCCCTTGGACACGGATTATTGTAATTCACTGACGTTCTGCATGACAATAAAATCAAGTGGATGTAAGATCTAATCAGCTGGCACGTCAACAAATGATTCCCCTACTCAGCTGCTCAGCGACTCTTTGACAGTCGTTACAACATTGTCAGCAAAAAGTAGACTTCCCCCATCACCCACTCGCCACAATCCCCTCCCAAGTGAGCAACAGGTGATCTATAATCACTACCAACACCACGTGATCCCGTGCTGCACCTATCCACAACATGCATCTTTCACGGCGCTGCAGAGCCGTTTCGTTTTGTTCACAGGCAGTTCATTGTCAATGCTGACTGACTGAATAAAGTTTGAAAAAAAAAATCTCTGCAGCGCGAGTTGAACAGAGCGAGGGGGGAGCAAAGCAGAGTCTGTTTTCAAAGGAAATTTAAGTAAATTTTACAAATGACCAACGCAGCGAAAACTGTTCGACCCAAGTCCTCCAAAGTGTGAGAGAACTTCACAAAGATTAAAAATGATAAACATGCAGCTTTGAAAATCGCCGACATGACACGGGAGAACCACGGAGATGAAACCTAAACATGTCGGAGTCACGAGGAGGAGGAAGGAGCTGCAGCTGATACATGTCTCACTCCCAACTCGTGTTGCAGGTAAGTCTCTACAATTTAACACATTCACATTAACACATAACACATAACACATTAACACAGGAAGTCCAACATTTTACTGACCACATCAACTCTGTGGATAAATACATCAAGTTCACACGAGAAGATGTAAAAAATGGCAGGTTGGCTTTCTTGGACTGTGAGGTCTCAGTCTCTGATAGAGGACATTTGCAAACTGAGGTGTACCGCAAACCCACCCACACAGACCAGTATTTGCAGTTTGACTCCCATCACCCTTTGGAGCACAAGTTAGGAGTCATCAGGACTCTGTACCACAGAGCAGACAGCATCCCCTCTAGCTCAGGAGCCAGGCAGAAGGAGAAATCCTACACAAGACAGGCTCTAGAGCAATGTGGATATCCTAACTGGGCCTTCCTGAA